TTATATCCACTGATTCTCACTCTACAGATAATATAGAAAATATGTGAGTGGGAAAACTACTGCATTTATCTCTTCCCTCTCCCTGAATTCAGCAGACTGCTCTGGCTTCTATGAACAAAAAAGCGCAGCCCTTCTCTCTCTTCTGCTCGTACTGATGCAATTAATGAGCTAAGACAAGCATTGCCATAAGCAGAATTCATTATCATTGTTCCAGTCTGTGTCCAAATTACATTTAAAATAGTTGGCAAACAGTATTGCTGATAGAGTAATAAAAGATTGTTCAACACACCCATATTCTACAAGTTTCTTTCTGTACAGAAACATTGCTCTTCATATAAGCATGTAAAGAATTTGATTTTCTTTCATACTAGATTGCAGCCAGTACTAGACTATTACTGTATTATACACATGACCAAATGAGATTAACAGTGAATAATAGTGATTATTAATAAAGTATCAAGTGATTAATAGTTAATTAATAGGGAATATTTTTTGCTGTAACACACCTCTCACTCTTGCCTGAAACAACAGAAAACAAAATAAATTTAAAAAACCCCTAAACTAAAGAAAATATTTTCCTTCTTATATATTTGTAAAGTGAGTCAATTGTTTTTGTTTATTTCACTCAGTCCACTGCTTTAGAAAACAACACAGACATTATATTTTGTTCATAACTCTCTCTCACAAGAATTCAAAGGAAGTCCTTTTTGACTTACTAAGTGCCTACCTACAGTGTCCAGCACGACTAATAACAAGTTACACTTGTTTATAGTGTGTAACTTAATTCTTCCCCAAGGGTCCAAGTTTTGCAACCTTTTCTCATATTAAAAAACCCAAGCATGAGTAATTCAGCAAAAACAATTGCCTTTTTTTAATTTTCCAAAATGATAAAACAACCACTTAAATTTTTATTTAAGCTTCCAAGCAATTATGTTTTTTAAAAAGTCTTAAAACTATCACTGACTGTATGAATCCAGGCTTAAGCTTGCTCGTCTATCTGAATAAAATAAAATCAGTGAAAAGTATTGCATATTTACTGAATAGCATGTAACTTCATACAATCCATCAGAAATCCCAAAAGTATGTCAGGAAAGTCTTTCAACATTTTCTAGCTTGAGCTGCAAACCAGCAATCCTTGGGTTGTCTAAACAACATAGTTCTTTAAGAAACAGGTTTTACTTCTCTCTCGGAAGAGCAGATCCTTATTCTGATATTAGCCTGAAAGACTCAGCTGAGCATTCTCTCTAAAACTGTGTAGGAAGTACTCTGTGGTCGACAGAGGAATCCAGTTAATGAAGTAAGAGAAAAACACACTGCCAGAAGGACCCTTTGGTGCTCTGTCCTGTCTTCCCCTGTTGCCTCACCCTGTCAATCACACCTGAGAAGAACAGTGCAAGATATTTCTTGCACACATGTACAACTCTCATAACTGACAGTTTTGAGGCAACTCTTATGAAAAGCCATACAGGGAGAGGACACTTCATTTTTGAAGTCTCAGTGTTACTTCATAGTAAGAGAAGGAAGTTTCACATCAACCTGACACAGGTGAGTAATCATCTTGATATCATTTCCCAGATGAATAATCTTCTCAGTAAAAACTGCTAAACATTATCAGTTGCTGTTCAGACAGCCCAGCCATGATGAGTCAGGCTGTAGGAGCACCTCAAGCTTCAGAGAAGCCGGAAATCTGCCAATGATTAAAGGTAGAAGACTCCAAAACATAAGAGAAACAAGGCAACTGGCTTGTTTACAAAAGTTTGTCCATCATTAAGGTCAGACAGACCTTGAAGTCCTTTTTCCTCACATGGTTGTATCAACATGGGAAAAAGACTAGTGTCTCCCCAGTTGACACAGTCACGCCAAACAGCCTCCTTGCATGAACACAGGTTATGTTGACAGAGGCAGGTGATTGGCAAGCTGTATCATTTGGAGATGAGGTCTAGTTACACCAATTGTAAACCCATTTTGTTGACATCTTGGTTTGACCTAAGGCACTCCGCTAACATCACACCTATCCCACAGAAGTGCTGCAGTACAGATGGCAATGGAATGCCATGCTATGTACGATGCAGTTTCCCTGCTCTAACAGAAGTTCAGAAACATGTATCATAAGAATGGAATAATTTCCTTAAAATGGTTAGCTCATTTTTCTAGAACTTAACAGTATTGATCCTTTTCTGTAAGAAAAATTCCATGATTATATCTCTTGTGCTTTACGATGAAGGTGATATGCATAATTGTTATGCTGATTATGTATTTAAGAATCATGTGAGAAGATTTTTCTTACACCACTTTTTCATAGTTGCTGGTTTTAATCTAGTGTAGCATGGCTTTACAAATGATTTTCCTCTTTAGTCAGGAAAAAATCACTGTCAGCAAGCAAGTTGCTTAATGTTGTTTACAACATGTCTTCTTAAGGTCAAAATTAACATATGTAATAATCATTTTAAGGAGTGACACTGTGATGCATCGAGCACTAAAGAGGTCAAGGGTAAGTCCACTAATAGTGTCATCTTATCCTTATATATCTTTATATAAGGATATATCTATCTATCTATATATATATATCCTTATATATTGGCTCAGTCTCCTTCATGAATTTTTGGGATAGTTTGTACATATAAATACATATCGAATGCGTTCCTTCATGGGGTCAATCACTGCAGAAACATTCTCTGCTTTGCTCTTGTAGGAACTGGTTTCCTACTGCACTGAGAGTTCAAGTAGCCCAGGGAAATCAGTGCCTGAACTCAGGCACTTAGGTTTGGTGCTTAAAGTTTAGGTGGTATGAATATGCCCACCTCCAAGAAGTATGCTAGCCTGCTTACTTTCACAAATAAGCTTGCTGAAATTCCCATAAATTTTGCTTAGAGCCACGTTGGCTGAACATGATTTGCCGATTTATTCTTTCCAGGTTTCTGTGTTTCATGTGTAATATTTTCCTATTGCCTTTGAATATGTTCATAAGACTACACATCTCCACGACTACATAACAAAGAATCCTGTTTAATATAACCGCTTTTTTATAAGTGGCTTGAGAGAAGTATGCTGGCCTGTTTACAAAGTGTTTACCTACTGTAAGCATGTTTTAAATACCTTATTTTACCTTACTTAGAAATCCTTTAAACTTTTCTATGGATCTGCTGACAGATGAGGCTTAACAACATTATGTCTTTAGATTTAATTGTTGCTCCCTGAAGCAACCAACCTATATCAGTGTATCAAGTGTTACAGTTGTTGACATTGAGGTTGTGCTGATCAACTAAACAAACCTTTCATCTGTCAGATTTACAGTGACACACACAAAATATCCTCTTTATAAAGCTGAAGCACTACAAACACACCATGGAGCCAATATACTACATTTCCAACCCTTTTGCAAAGTGAAGCAAGAATCACACCTAATTTTTTTTCTATAGCTGCATTCAAAGGAGGCATACTCCTTAAAGTGGTATTAATCAGCACCACCTTTCTTTCCAGAGAGACATTTGGGAGGGACTGGATTGCATGCAGATTGTCACAAAAAGCATGGCAACTAATGGGAAATGGTCTTTCTTCACGGTATTTCAAGATCTTGTAGCAAAACTGAACTAGTCTTTGGAATAGAATCAACTGTGGTTTTGTGGTTTCCCTTACAGTGGATCCATTGATAGGTCAGGAGCTGCAGTTGAAAAAGAGTATTTTGGGCAAGGCACGGTCAAGTCTCACTACATACTAAAACAGAAAACACCGACTCTCACTCTGAAATGGACAAAGAAGGAGAGAAGTAATTAACTCTTCCTTGAGCATACAGTCATTCTAAACTATAAACTGCAGGGTAAAAGGCCTAGTGATAACTCTATTACCGCAACAAATTATATGCTTTATTTCAATATAGGAGAGACAGTGTAAAAAGATGCTGTCCTTCCCTTCCCCGCCCTTTTCAGCCTGTTTCTACTGCACACATATGCACACATATTTCAGCCACTGACGTGTTTACAGATGCATGCAAGCTAGAGCCCATCCTACTGCTTTAAAGCTCATAGTCATGCAGAATACAATTTTATTTCATGGGGAAGAAATCAGAGTGTGACGTACTTACTAGGAATACTTCTGAAACCTTGTCCTATCTGTTAGAAGTAAAGTGACACAGTGTTAAACAGATCTGCGTGATAATACATTTTTTGGTGTTTCTTTTTTCTAATTGACACTGTTTTAAACTGAAAAGTTTAAAACTTGAAAAGTTGCAAACTGACACACTGAAAGCAAAAGGTGGTTTGTACATACAGTACCCTGTCACTGAATTGTAAGCTGGGTGTGCCATAGGAAATTGAAGATCCAAGTGCCCCTAAGTGGAGACAAGTACATTTGGAGAAGTGTCCACATTTCTAGTGGTTAGTCAGAAATGAAGGTAAGATACCCAAGGAAAACTATTTCCTTGTTGCCTAAGCCTAGTTTGTTTTTTTTTTTTCTTCTGAGCTGTCTTTAACTTCTGCAAGGACATGTGCAAATCACAAAACCCGAGACTCTCGAGGTACATGAGTCTGATGTACATCAAAGTGTTGTTTTCTCATAATAACTGTCTGCCATACCAAACCAACGCATGTTCCCCTGATGCAAGACAGAAACTTTAGTATATATCCTGCAGTTATACAAAATTGTATCACTTGAGGTATATATAATATATATATTCAACTGAGGTCAAAGAAAAAGTGTGCTGATTATCTACAAATTTCTCATGCACTGGTCAGCATTACAGTAAAATAGTAATTATTCATTATAATGGTAATATTCATTAATCCCTCCAATTAACCCCTGCTCCCTTTGAACTAAGGTTCGTAACACTGGTGCATGTGACACCAAAGGACTGATATCAGTTTGGGAAAATCTTTCTGTTTGAATTGAGAGCAGACAGATAATATTTTCTTGCTAGGAAAAAAATAATAATAATAAAAGCTTGTAATTAAACAACAACTAGATTATTATTGCCACTTTTTTTCAATAATATTTTTTACGTTTACCTTTCTTGCATCTCGTATCATCTTCCGAATAGTTTCCTTTATAGTGTAAGGCTGTGCTCGTGGTGGATGAAAAAGCAGATCAATATTTGTGCCACCAGAAATTCCAGGCATCAGGTAGGGCCAACCTAAGTCAAGATTTGGAGCTTCCACATCTGATTCAATGGGCCAGTAAGTTCCCGAGGAAGAGGTGTCATCAATGGCATGGTTAGAGGAATAAATTGTGTTTTGGGGAAGTTTGTGAACATTGTTCAAAATATAATCAATTTCCTCATCCGCTAGGAACTCTGAGCATCTCTCTTTGGAAAGAAATTCTTTGTAGGCTTCTAAACCTCCTTCAATCAGAGCATCGATAGCTATTCGGTACCATTCCTTGTAATGTGGTTCAATATAGTTGTCTGATCTGCATTCATCATGTAAGGAGGATAGCAAAGATGAAGTTTCCATTTTCATATATATTTTGTATAAAGTCTCTTAAGCTCCCATTCATGAGCTGATGAAATGTATCTGCAAAGAGAAAAAAGTAAGAAAACAACCAGAATATTTCTAGAGATCTATGATGCACACAGATATTAACTAAAATACTTTTCTGGTAATGTTGCTCTAAGTTTTTCTAGCATCTTCCAAGAATTTAAAAATGTTTTGAAAAGGCTCAGAGACTAATATTGCCAAATGAATATTAAAGAGGTAGATAAAGAGCTTTTACGTACGACAAAACTAAACACATAATTAAGTGACTTGGTGAAGTCCTACATCAGAGCTCATAATACACTGAACATCTGTACCAGTAACACCAACACATACCTGATGCATGTTCCAATACGCTACCATAAGTTGTGTTTCAAAACCCTCTTTGTAACAAGTGACAGAGTAGTGTTGAAAGAAACGCTTCAGAAACCAATTAAATTTCCTACTTTTTGATGCATTTCTTTCTCTGCAATGCATCCCTTTTCTCTGGCTTCTTCGAAACCACAGTCATTCAGGTACTTCTCCTTATGTATCTCTTCTCCCATGCTGATCTAACCCACTTGTTGCTCCCAAGCAGGACCAGCCTACCTCATTTCAGTCAGTTATGAGGAACTCGAGAAAGATTTATCCTCCCACATCTGGGATCAAACTCTGAATCAGCAATCCGATGTCTAGTTTCCACCCTGTTCATTCCTTCTGCCAAAAGGAGCGGCTGCTTTAATCTAACTTTTTTTTTTTTTTTCCAAAACATTAATAATAAGTTGTTTACTGCTGATGTTTTATAAATTCATTCTTTTTTTTTTTTTAATTTCATTTAGCAAGGGCTGACAGATTTGTTTTCAGTGGGATTTAATGTGGGATTTAAGACAGAGAGAGAATAAACAGCAACTCCACCATTCACCTAAAACCTAAACTGCACTGGATTTCTGCATTGGGCAAGTAAGAGGGGGGGGAAGTATTTCAGGACAGTGGCATCAGCATGGCCATGTAAAATAGAAACATGATACATGGTAGCACTGTTTCATCTTCCAGGGCATGAAGCTTAAGCGAAACCCTGCAGAAATAGGATAGCTTGAAAATTAATGCTGGGTTTCCCTACAAACCTAATTAAATAGTATAGCAGTGTAATAGCAAAAAACAGTCATACAGCATTCTGGTTTCATTTACTGTCATATAAATTTAACACAATTCTCTCTCCCCATCAAGACCTTTCAGATATTTTTGCAAAAAAGTGCATTTGTTTTCCACTGTTTGCTGGGAACAGTTTAAATCTTTTTGAAAGGAAACGTAAATTAGCTATATTAACCTAAAGGAATGAAAATAGAGATCTCCATAATTACTGATACTTCAAAAATCAATTAAATGTTCAATTAAATCAAGATTTATAAGGAACTTGGGAAGACTGAGGTTAAAAAAAGACCAAGAAAGAAAAATCCAGATCTGAGGCTGGCATCAGCATGTCATATGAAATAATTCCATTTGAATCCTGTCTCTCAGCCAAGCAGCAAGGTAGATCTTCCCAGATAGGATTGCTTTCGAGCCTGAGGGAAAGGAGTGTTCCTGGCTGCTTCCAGAGTAGCTCTTTGTGGTGAACTGGAAAGCAGCAAGTCAAAGGGATCTGACTGCTCTCCCTCCAACTGAGAACTACATGTATTCCTGTGACAGATATCCAATTCAGAAGTTAAACTCTTAGAATATTGTAAAATTAAAACAGTCACTTCAGTGTCCCAGGGAAGCCAATCATCTGGAACAGGTTTTCAAGACATTTTAAATGAAGAATGAAGAACAACCAAGATATGAAATGCAGTTAGCTGAGTTATTCTGAAGAGTCTGAACACTTACAGGTGACTGTACTGAGAACCCAATACAACTCTCTTTTAGGGCCTTCCAGGACAAGTAACTTTCTAACCAGTTTAGTAAAACAGTCAGTTTTATTATGACATGCTTTTTATAAAAGGAAATTAAAGATATTTCTAAAACTCTTACTACTTTAGAATGGATATACTTTTCAAATAGAAATTTTGTTACTGATTGAATGTATACACTTGAGAAAGACTTATGTGTTTATTTCAAAAGCTTGTCTAAATACATTGTTTCTTCTTCTCACTCTTTCCTTTGAAAACAATATAAGGGAACTGGACTATACTTACTATATAACATTGTGCAATACCAAATATTGAAAGCTATGAACAAATAAAAGGCAAAAAAGATTGCATGTGTGTTCTGGCTCACCTACATTTCTTTTATTTGGTTTGGTTCTTTGATTTGTTTTCGTAATAGTATACCAGTTGTAATTGCTTGACTTTTCATCGAATATAATCAATTAATTAATTAATTGTGGCATACGTCAAATACAGCAACTTATGCTCAGACTTATGCTGAAAGCAGAGTATAAACATATGTAATCTTGGAAAGGTGAGACTTCTAGTGCGGCATCTTCCTAACAAGAATAATCATTTTAAAGTGAACATCTTTGAAGTTGATGTTTGATTAACAAGTGCTGTTTACAAAAGAAGCTTAAAGCAGTGCAGATTTATTTAAGAAAGTAGATGTAAAATTTGTCAGCATGGAAACAAATCGCAGAACACTTGAGACAAATGAAAAAATTTTAATGCTGGTTTTTGAAATTAAGGAAATCAGCATGAGATATATTTGTGTGAAACAAAAGAAAACTCCCAAATAAAAACAATGGCTTCAAGTCTATTTAACAAAAGTTCTCAATGTCTTGACAGAGGTATTTTCCTCCTTATAAGGTAAGAGCTACGTTGTAGAAATTGTACCTATGAAACAATATAATTTTGGATAGAGAGACAGAGGTTTAGATAAAATTCTTAAATAAATTTTTTGGTGTTCTCTTCTAGTCTGTATTATGATTTCTGTATAATAAGCTTGTGTCTTCAAAGGTCCTCCTCAGGTCAACAATTATATTAGCAAGATTGTGCAGAATGTGGCCCACCTCTGGAGGCTTGCAGATCTTTATCAGATTTCACGTACATGATTACAAATTTTACCAGCAAAGTTGTTCATCCTCTGAGAAATAGACTTGACTGTTAATCCCAGCCCAGCATATCAGCCATCTTCTCTGTTTGGACACAGGGATCAATCACTTTTTTAATAAGTGCCATTAAAGGGCTTAAACTGAATTTGAACTTCAATGCAGCTGCTAAAACTGAAACTTTTGCTGAAGAACACAAATTCTGAATCCTGCACTGAGGTAATCATCTTGTCCTTCTATTAACAATATGCTCAGACCTTTCTAATGCCATTATGAGGAACCCAGCAAGAAAAGCCCTTTTCCTTCGACAAAGAAGAAAACATGCCTTTTTGTAGAAAGATATAGAGAGTATCCTGGACTTTACAAAAGCAGCAGATTACAAATGTCCAGTAATGACACAACATTCTACATGGGTTCCAGGATCACAGTCCTCCAGGCTAGTGCTAAAGACAAGAAACTTCCCTGCCTTACTAATATTCACAAGATTTGAAAAAATCCTATTCAACAACTTTGTGGAGCAGCTGTAACCTCAGGCTCCTACAGCCGGTCCTTGGCAAGGTCCTGGCCATAGTGCTCTCCTCAGGACGACCGTATCTCTTTTTCAATGGAAATGTGATTCCTTTGACAAGTTCTGAATCAAGTTTCAACCTTGGCACCCCTGTTAAAGGAAATTTAAAGCTCGGGAACAGCCTGCTGCAAGCCCCTCTATCACGTATGGTTTCTGGGGCATCCACCTAACTACCTCTGGCCCATGGCTCAGCCAAGGAGCCTCTCTCCCCACAGCTTAAGGGCCTGGCATGACCAGCCTTTAATAGAACAAACAGGCGTTTTACGACAGCTGCCTTCCACCACCCTTTCTATTAAAGAATTGTATCAAGAATAAATAATAATTACCTACATTAAGCAGTGACAGTCAATTATTTCATTATGAATGACATTACAGTATTTTCTGTGGATGCAAAGGACATCAAATCCAAGTGAAAAACAACACCGCAAGCGTTCCTAATGCTTTCTTCTTTCCTCTTCTTTTTTTTTTTTTTTTTTTTTTTTTATTTTTTGTTCAACCAGAAAGTTAACTTTCCGGGCAAAACAGCCGGCCCTCCGCTGGGAGACACCGCACGTGTGCCGCCCCCAGCCCGGCCGCTCAGGGGGCCGCTTGCGCAACGCGGCGCCGGGAGGGAGCGCGGCGTGGGAGCCGCGGGAGCCGCGCCCGCGGGCCGCCCACCCCGCCCGCCGCCGCCTCCGGCTCCCCCCGCGCTCCGGCCGCGCCGCCGCCTCCGCTTCGCGACCCTCGCGCCCCCGTTCCAAGCGTCCCTCGGCGCCCAGCGGGATATTGGCGGGGCGGGGGCTGCCCTGCCGCCGCCGCTGCCACCACCCGTCCCGTCCCGGGGAGACTGAAGGGAGACACACCCACCTACTGCGCCGGTGCCCCGCGATGGGGTCTCGCCTCCGGAGCGACTCGACCCGGCTGCTGCGATCGCGGCGGCGGCGAGTCACGGCGGCGCAGGGCTCATCGCAGGTACTTCCCGTCGCTCTCGGGCGCGGTGGGTGTGGAAACCAGTTACAACATGTCAGAACGGTGTCGCACCAAACCCGCCGCCGCGGGAGCGGGGCAAGGACTTGTCTGAACTGGGGAAGCCCGGCCCTCCCGCACGGGAGCGAAGGGCAGCGCCTTCCCAGGGCCTTGGCGGACCCCCCGCCCCAGCCCAGCCCTGCCCTGCCCAGCCCTGCCCTGCCCGCTGGGCCGGCCGGCAGCCGCGGCATCGGCAGCCCCGCGGGGGCCCCGGGAGCGGGGTGTGCGTGTGCGTGGGAGATTGAACCCAAAGCAAACGTTGGCTTCAAGAAAAAATAAACCCGTCAGCCTCGAGTCACGATTTCCAGGTTAACTCCGGTGGAGCAAGACATGGCAAGGGAGCAATACCCATTTGAGACCTTCCAATTAGGCTATGTGGACGAGCCTCTTTTCCATAGCTTAATTGCTTTAAAGGCTCTTCTTTTGCGCTTGATGTCTCAGGTTAGAAAAATAGACCTGAAGGTAGAGCCCCCCATCCTGGCTGCGGTGCTGCTGAGGCCGTCCTGCAGCCGGTGTCGATCTCCTCGGCACCCCGTGCTCGGCATGCCATCGTGGCAGTCCCACGTTTTGAAACGTTTGACAGCCCTCTCTGGAGGGCTTTTCCAGAACACGATCATCTCTTTACTAGGATCTTGAAACCACAAACAGATCAGCACATCACATGTGCGTAAGAAGCACACTGAGGGGTTTTTGTCATTTTAAATTAATGGCAGTAGATAAAAAACTTTTTATAGGCTTTGTCCATGTCATACTCTGTGGTGCATAACTGCAGCTGGCTTTTTCTTGAGCCGTTTAAGACAATGCAGTGTAACCCTGACAGTTATCCTTTTATCAGCAATAACTAATCCAGTCCGGCTTTAAGCATAAACTATTTTCCTAACCTTTCTGCCTAACAGTAAGTGTGAGATAAATCCTGTTTGTAAAGGTAAGTATGGTTCTACTGTGGCTTTTGGATGATGCTCCTTTAGAAGAGAGAAAAAAAAAAGTAAAAATATGCAGTATCATTACAATATATGTATATAAATGTATAAGTCTGATGACCATCAGGGAGAGACTTTTTCTGTGCAGTTAATTCAGGTAATGGAATGCACAAGAGGAAATAGCTGGTGTTGGTATACTCAGGGACTACCCTTTATAGACATAGGAGCATCTGGATTAAATGGTTAGACTCTTCTTGTACTCAAAAAAGAATTTCCCTGGTTTCCCTTTTAAAATGTACATAGAAATTAATAGTTAGTTAGTACACAGGACTTTTTATCCCATGAAAATATGTGGTCAGGAAGAAGAATCTGTTTCTGTGGAAACTTGTCCAAAGAGGTGGGGCTATGTAAATTTTTAAAAGAGCAGATCTATTCTCTAAAATTGTTTTTGAAAGGGTAAGAAGGTAGATGAATGATCACAAAACCACTTTTGACCTGGACTGAATTGATTGGACTTTTATTCCATAAAATATACAAGTATTACTGTGTCTTTCTTCTAGAGAAGTCAGTGGTTGAGTACTGGCTTAGCATAACCAAAAATCTGTAATAAGAACAGTAATAACTTTCTAAATAAGGAGATCTTCATAAAAAAAAAAGGACCTAGGTATTTTTGCTACATTAGTATGCCTACAAGAAAAGGGTTTTCTTCTGTTCCTTTACAGTGCCCAGCTCAGTGGAAACCAATCTGTTACTGAGATCTTAAGCAACATGCACACACACATCTAATACAAATGACCAATACAGTATAAACCAGGAACACTGGTATCAGTAATAATAGGGCTTTATTATTGCTGATTATTGCTAAAGAGAACAAAGTGCTCCTTAAATAGCCAGCACATGGCTATTTATCATGCCAACTTTAAAATTAACACATAAACACAGTGATGAGAAGATACAAAAGAAAACTTAAACAGATCTTTGTAAATACGGAGAAAACCTTTACACTGACAATAGAAAAATAGGATGACAAATGCTGTTGGAGATTTTTCTACACAGTTGAGAGCTGCCTGAGTTTATCAGCTGAAGCCCACCAGTAGCTATACCAGACTAGACCAAACCTAGCTTGGATAATGTGTTTTGGAAACCAGCTATCCACAGTTAACTGTCAAAGTAAAGAACATTTTTACCTGGCAAGTAGTAAACTTCTGGGTCTTGCAGCCACAGGAGTCGGTCAAGGCAGTTAGTATGAGCAAGCTCAATAAGTGGTAAGACAAATACTTAAATAATAGGTACAAAACTGGATTGTAGAAGGATAAGGCAGGGATATGTGCTTCAACATCTTTATTCCTAGAGTCGTGGAACTGCAGCAGTTTGAGGGGAATAGACTGCAGAAACTGGCCAGGCTGTCATTTGCCTAAACAGCCTTTCCTGTTGCCATTGGAAATGTAACATTGGGTAGGACCAGTTCAAGCATCCTATTGGTTGGAATCATTTTACTGTAATCCATCTGATTCATGAAGCGTCAAAACTACAGAAAAAGTTCTTGCTGTAGACATAGCTTGTTCATGGGATAAAAGAATCAACTCAATATGTTTGATACCACCATCTTGAGAATGATTGTCTTAAGTGACCTGGGTACTCAGATGATGGTGCTGATGGATGATTGTCTCTGTGACTTACATCAGTTTCCAGTTCTGAGACTTCTTTTTGTATTGACAGATCATCTTACTGTGTATGGTCTAGCTGAATGCAAGCAGAAGATAAAAGATTATTATCACATATACAATGACACCAGTCTGAAAGTTTATGATATGACTTATTATTAAGGATAAATATTTATGTGAATTACTATTTATATTCCTACTGCATGCTTACTAAGATTTCATTTAGATTTACTAAAGGAACATTGATTTGGAAGCAGTGGATATTTATACAATTCGTGACATCTATGAATTGAACTTTTATTAGATTTTAAACAGAAGAAAGAGTACAGTTCTGAAGACTCATACTATTTACAAATCAGTGGCCATCTAATCTAAAGCATAAGCACAGAGACTTTACACACTAATCTTAAAATTAGAGGAAATGTGCTGTTACAGATATGAATATAGAAGGAGCTGCACTGCATATGAAGTTTAACAAAGGCAAGTGCTGGATTCTGTACCTGGGACAGGGCAATCCTCAGTGTTTGTACAGACTGGGGAATAAGATGCTGGAAAGCAGTGATGTGAAAAGGGACCTGGTCGATGGCAGGTTGAATATGAGTCAGCAGTGCCCTGGTAACCAGGAGGGCCAGACCATGTCCCGGGGAGCATCAGGCAACGCATCGCCAGCTGATCGAGGAAGGGGATTGTCCAGCTCTGCTCTGCTCTGGAGCAGCCTCACCTTGAATATTGTGTGCACCACAATATAAGAAAGATATTAAGCTGTTTGAGAGTGTCCAAAGGAGAGCAACAAAGATGGTGAAGGGCCTTGAGGGGAAGTTGTATGAGGAGCAGCTGAGGTCACTTGGTCTGTTCAGCCTGGAGAAGAGGAGACTGAGGGGAGACCTCATTGCAGTCTGATCAGATCTGATTGCAGGCACTGATCTCTTCTCTGTGGTGACCAACAACAGGACCTGAGGGAATGGCCTGAGGTTGTGTCAGGGGAGGTTTAGGTTGGATATTAGAAAAAGGTTCTTCACCCAGAGAGTGGTTGGGCACTGAACAGGCTCCCTGGCAAAGTGGTCACAGCACCAAGGCTGACAGAGTTCAAGAAGTGTTTGGAGTATACTCTCAGGCACATGGTGTGACTCTTGGGGGTGGTCCTGTGCAGGGCCAGGGGTTGGACTCAATGATCCTTGTGGATCCCTTCCAACTCAGCAGATTCTGTGATTCTGTGATTTACACAAAGCTTGATGAGTACTGATACAAACCCAACACCTTTCAAAACATAGCAGAGAGAAAAATGAGACAGAAAAGTGCAAATTAGTATGGAAAAACAGATGTCCTACTCTGAGTACTTGCTTTTCCAAATTAAATAATCACAACCTACTTTTTTGGTATCATCATTAAATCAATTAATTTGGTCCTAGTGATATAAAGGAAATACTTGGTAATGTCCAAACACCACTTAGTTTACCAATTACCTTCACAGCTTCTATCAAGAAATGGTCAGCAGTTGAAATACAAAGGATTAAAGTTAAGATCTTTTACTTGAAGAGGGTGTTCCTAACCCAAATATGTCGGCCTGGGCTATATACCCAGGTATGTGGGGTGTGTGTGTGTATATGTATATATATATATATATATTTGTGGTAGAATTTTGTCCTGGGTCAGGTCTTGTGTGAAAAGCTTGTGGAAGCCTACTGAAATTACTTCAGGAAGTTCAATTGTGGAGAGAATCTGAGTGTTTCCTGTAAGGAACTTATAGTAAGAAATGAATGAAATTATGCAAAGCATCTTATTTTTGAGACACAAGTTAATAAAAATCCCCTAATCTTTATTTTCTGCCCTCAATATAAATTGCTGAGAGATAGGGTAAAACAGCAGGGTTAGAGGGATAATCAATGGTGAACAGTTACCATCTGAGGAAGAATCATGCAGGCTTAGACCCTCCAGAGTGGCATGGAGTTGGTGACTGAGGCTTCCTGGTGTGGTTCATCACATGATGTGTAACTCCGATGTACAACAAGGCTGAAGACAGAGAAGGAAAATCCTCTGGGGTCCACTTTAATATAGAATCATAGAATCAGCCAGGTTGGAAAAGCCTTCTGAGATCATCAAGTCCAACCCTTGAGTAATACCTCTCTCTCAGGACGTTCTGAGACAAGAAGTTCCAAACTGATGGAGGTTGATAAAGTATTCTCCATCCCTATGCTCCGTTCCTCTCCCTTTCCTCTTTGCCACATGTCTGTGTGTGCTGCTAATCATTGAAGGGCAGATACAGGGCTACACAGACCTTTGTTCTGACTTCACACAGCTGTTCTTGTATTCCTTCAGA